ACAAAATACGGTCAAACTGGTAAGTAGAGTACCACAGGCGCCGATGTTCGTTCAATAAGTCTGGATCCATATCTAGAACCTGTTCTTCAGGTTCCCAATGCAGGCCTATGTCAATACATAAGCGCAGGGCGATACCAGTTAAATGCCACAAGCTCCCCCGAGAAGGGCACAGTGCAACAAATTGAGCTAATAAGAGTACGGCGCGGAGAGTCTCGAGATCACTCTTCGAATATGTGATGACATTTTCGACCCAGCCGATTGCCGACCGGAAGCAACCCTCACTCTGAGTTGGCCGACCCCCAGCAGGATTGGGAACATCGCAGAGTGCGATGGCGAAGATCATGTATGCTATGAAAATGTCCTTCTCGACTGCTCGATCTGAGAGCTGGCGCTCGCTCATAGACAGGTATGCGTGCTCAAGAGCTGCCTCGACTTGTGACCGCTCTACGATTGGCAGGTGGGGTGTGCGGTACTGGAAGTAAACGTCGACCAGATGGTCTGCAACATGGCGCGGTGGAAGAGAGGCCTCAGCAGCCAGTGCAGATATGGAAGGGTCGTACGACTGCTGGCCAGAGAATAGGGGAGAGGGCAGGGTGTCGACACGGATGGCTGCCATGACCAGCCTGGCTAGCGTGATGCCACTGCCTTGTCCCAAAAACCGTGGCTGTCTTGAGGGCTCAACGGCGACATTCCTAACACTCTGGACCAAGTCTTGGTAGTGGCTCGAGCTTCCATCAGAAGTTGAAGGCCGTCCGGTGGGAGATGTGCTAAGGCCATGTCTTGTCGGAGACCATGGTCCTAGTGATGTTACATTCTCACCATTGACTGAGCTGGCCTGAGCTTGCGATCGCAATTCATGGATTTCCCGAGTTAAGTTCTCAACCTGGGCCTCTAGATTTGACACGTAGTCACGAGGTATCTTAGAGGGTTTCAGTTGAGTGAGGCGGGATTATGGTCAATGCTCGTGGAGCTCACCTCGGCCTGTTTCCCTGAGTGATAAGTCAAGCACGGGAGGCGCGCCCTCTCGCAATTAGAGCAGCTAGGGTGCTTCTGATCGCACTGCGCGTTCACTCGATTGTCAGTGACAGACGGCTGAATGGAGGGTTGCTCTCATTACCTTCTGCTTTCTCCGGCGACACCTATGCTCCCAGTCAGCCTCGAGCCATACGTCCAGGCGCTGCCTTTCCATTCCACTCACCTCTGACACGCAGTAACCCCTCTCAAGAACCTGTAGCTGGCGCGGGACGGCGGACGCGCCTGCGGCGTCCTATATTCCGACATCGAGCTTCGGCGTGGAGATGACACTGGCAGGTCATGTTTCGTGGCCACAGGGGAAATTGGTCTGATAAGAGAAGTTGCGCAACGGGCTATCAAAGTAAGCCGATCGATCGGACCTGATCCGAGGCATTGCATATGGATCCTTATCGCCGATCGATTGAATCTTATTTGCGCCTCGAAGAAATCATGACCTTATCTACGATTTGCGGGGTGCGCGGGGCCAAATGTCGGGTTTTGCCGATGGCGATATCGAGTGTGCCCCTTATCGTCCGTATCGTATCGTCGCCTCCTACCTGGATATGCTAAGTATGCTTGACTGACTCCCATCAGAGATCATGGAATATATAAGTGCACAACTTGGCCAGATCAATGGCTTTCCTCTTCACCGACCATTGGCGAGATCTTTGCACATTCAACCAGATGCCCGCACATTTTTTTGTGGTCCAAGCTACCCGAAATGGAGTCTGAACCCGCAATGGAAAAGATGATGAAGTCCCCTGTGATCGACAGCAAGACCCCTGATGACTGTATTTCCGAGGTGGCAAGTTCGGTCATATACATTGAACCCGAGAAGGAGGCAGCGGTTCGGAGAAAATTCGACAAATATCTGGTTCCAGTTTCCCTTCTTTTTATTGTTTTGTCCGCCCTAGACCGAAACAACGTGAGTGGAGCCTTTGCTCCGCGAACCAAACAAACTACTAACTACTGAGCAGCTTGGAAATGCTAGAGTCTTCGGCTTCGATGCCGACATCGGGCTCAAGGGCGGCCAGTTTGGCAATATCAACACGCTGTCGAGTCTCTGCACCTTTCTGTTTGAGCTCCCTTGGACCCTGGCCGTCAGGCGCTTCGGTGCTAGGAAAGCACTTGGTGCTGCATTCCTCCTGTGGAGTTTCTGTACTCTTGGTACTGCGTTCATCCACACCTACGGTCAGGCTATCGCCGTCCGTATGATACTATGTGCCTGCGAATCCGGTCTTTCCCCGGGCTTCGCCTTTCTGTATTCTACCATTTACCCACAAGAACAGGCGGGAAAGCGTATAATGACGACAAACCTCGCCCAATGCATCTCCGGTGCCTTTGGTGGGCTGTTTGCGTATGCTGTTCAGACTATGGGAACGCGGAGGGGGCTCGCAGCCTGGAGATGGTTATTCATTGTCGAGTTCTGTGTTACAATCTTCATTGGTGGCATTGGCTGGATCTTTATCCCGGACTCGGCTGAAACGGCATGGTACCTGAATGCAGAAGAGAAGGAAACTATGCGCTTGAAAAAGCAGCGAGACTTTATCCTTCGAGGTGAAGCTAAGTTCGACCGCAAGTGGGTTAAGATCACCCTCACAGACCCCTTTGTCTATCTCCTCGGCATAGCTTTCTTTACTTCATCCGTCGCGATTAACGGATTTGGTGTCTTCCTACCTACTATTATCTCCGGTCTTGGGTGAGAACTTATAATTAATGAACTTTCGAACTACTCGCTGATTGGGCCTAGATATGCCTCCATTCGGGTCAATTATATGACCATCCCCGTTTACGTCCTTGGCGCCATATCTCTTGTGACCCAAGTATATTTTTCTGATAAAATCAAGCGACGAGGGGCGTTTATTATCGGATGCTGTGTTCCGGTTGCAGTTGGGTATCTCATCTGTGTAGGGACGCCGAATCCCCATGCCGGCTATGCGGGGATGTTTATTCTCGTTCTAGGTGAGCTATATCTACATTCTACTGCATTATGATCTAACGCCTGACTAGGGTTGTATCCCATTTCCACGTTGGCGGTAACTTGGGCGACAAACACCTTTTCGCCGGATTCTAAACGTGCAATTGGGATGCCATTGGCCTATTCTATCGCAGACGCATCTTCACTCGTATCATCACAATTATATCCAAGTCCACAAGGCCCACGGTATATACAAGGCAATGCTGTCTCTGCTGGTCTGACGGCTGTCGCTGGAGTTCTTTATGGCGCATGTTGGCTTTTGCTTAGACGAAGAAACGCAAAGAAGGCAAAGCTTATTGCTGAAGGTGCCACTACAAATGGCCTGGAAGGGGATATGAGTCTTGATTCCATGTACATTCTTTGAGTTATTACTGTGCTCAGACTGAACGGTCCAGTAGTAGTAGCTGAAATGAGCGAGGAAATTCGCCGTATGGCTCGTAGAAAGCTTTAAGATTCTTCTTCTGCGCAGATGGGGTGTATTTAATAGGCATGAGACTAGTTGCTTGCTGCCACGGAGTTCTCGATAGCGATGGCAAGTGCTGCCCTTATGCTCAACGTAGAGGCCCGGGCCCAGTGTCTACCTCGATGCTAAGTCCATGTATTTGTTCTCGTTGTCTTTTAAGCGCGTCAACTCCCTGCATCTAAAGCACTAGCAAATAATTGGAGTCGCGATGTGGCCATCTACCTTTTCCGAGGCTTGAAGTAAACGTTGGAGGCGAATTTGGATAGGGGAGTGGAATATCACTTCCATCGAGGTGATTGTAAAAGACACACCGTTATCAACAGGCATCATTACATTTCCGCTCTTACAACCCTCAGAGGTGCAACACCGCCAATGTGTAACATATTGCCTAGATCAAGCAAGGCTCTACACGCCGGTTCTATTGATTGTCGGACGACCACAATTCTGTGAGGCTTAGCAAAAAAAAGTGAACGAGGACAAGCTTGAGACCTTCATATTCTCCTCACAAGATTATCACGTCGACTTCATGCGTCTGTAGAAAACGGGTCTGGGCTTTGACACTATACATGATCTCGACTCTTGCCCAGGATGACTCGGCAAGATCCGCAGGTAATAGACCTGATATTTCGTGGGATATGCCAGCAGGTTTTCCAACTACGGATGGCCCATGATGGTTGGTCCTGTCTTCGAGAACGTACAGAGAGCACGAAACACAAACCTCGAGGCTGAAGAGACCGACCCAAGATAGTAAGAGCAAGTTAGGCGGGCTAATATTCAATGGCTGGCTTATCCTGTTATTTTAGGAAGCGTTCCCGAGCTCCCCATAAGCAATTTGGAGAATGGGCTTGGCGTTGACCATCTAGTATACCTTATGTGGTTTTAAGATTATCATTATCATATTATAGTTGGATGGCGACCTGGGTCGTTCTTTTCCCCCAGCAAATTCATTCAGCCTAGGAAACTCGCTCGGGATCAGAGGTAAGGGCTTACCTAACACTGGAAGGTATGCCACGTGATTAAGTGGCCGGGAATGTGGGGATAATATATGTACTCTTAGAACGTTTCGTAAAACAAAAGGCACTTTGATCAGAGACGGACGGAGCAGAGGGGAGGAGTTGACGCTTCATGAAGTTTGGAATGTTGAAGTGGGGCTTATCTTCACGGCGTGCTACGATCAAATTCTGAGATTTTCGGTTATGCTTTAAAAATAAGCGAACTTTTCCAAGCATTCCTTCGGGACCGTGTCAGGGAAGCACAGAGGTGTCGCATAATGTATATTAATTTTCTGCCAGGGACTTTGTTTTTCTTTTTTGCTTTAACTTCTCCCCGATCTCACACTTCTTCCATAAGTTTTGCTTCAATTTTTAATCGCATTTCTAAGTTGATGCCCAAGACTTAAGCGAGGTTACAAGCGAGATTTAAAAAAAAAATAATAATAAAATAAAATAAAAATAAAAAATAAAAATAAAATAAAATAAAACTACAAAAAATGTATGGTGCGCTGAGCTATGCTCAGGGACATGAACTCTGAAGAGTTGATAGGAACTCTCTGACGGGGAGTCGAACCCCGATCTCCCGCGACTTGTCATGCATGACAAGCGGAAATCATGACCGTTAGACCATCAAAGAATGTTTGTTAGGTGATTGTTGGAGTAATTTCAACAAATTAGCTATATATTTAGACCATCAAAGTCCTTTTTTGCTAATCGTTAACTGACCTCCAATATTCTACAAATATATGCCCCTTGAGTCCAAATTCGCAACCTCTCGACCCCGTTTTCCGACTTCTCGTAAACTTCGTTTACTTATAACTTCGTCCTCCTATTGGAGAATGTGAGACCCGTCTTCCACAAGAGCGTTTTCTCGCTTTCTCGTTCATTTGATTTCTCTCATAGCTCGAAAGTATACGCAAGTTCAAACCTTTTAAGCTGTCTCGAGCCTGGTGGTCTATCCAGGAAAGTGCGCTCCTTACGATCCATGAGGAAGGTACCAGGGGGGGTTGGAGCGCAACAGAGACCAAAGAAAATTGCTGGCATCATTGCCATGAGGAAAGACACGGTTTTGCGACCGATATGTTTACAAAGGTTATAGGAGGGAGGCGCCAGATGTCTGTCAGCTGTCGTCGAGGATCGGTTTCGTATCAACAACAGCCCTGTAGCGCAACTCTCCTGGTGTTGATATTCCTCCCGCTCTTTATAGTCAACCTAGACCGTACTAACAGGAGACTAATAAGAAGCTATAATAAGGAGGTTAGGGTTAGTAGACATATGAGTAGTGTTATAAAGGAGACGCAATCATGTTAGCGCTAAACAATTTAGTAGTGTAAACTATTTGGCGGTGGATTGCGTTACAAGCTACGCCAAAGTAATTGATTTCAAAAGAGGTATAGTGGCTACGATTTAGGAGAATTTTGGCCGTGATTTAGGTGGTTCCTAAAGAATTGATTAGATAATGATGACACTCACACTACGCAAGATTGCAGTACATTATATTGATCGATTACGTCGTGTCGAGAGAAATGCCGTTATATATCAGTCAAATATTGCCATCTCGATTTCCCGCAGAGCACCGTCGCCGAGAGCAAAGAGAACTAGTTCTTACAATATCACACGTGGCTTGTCGCAGTTACGACTCGATTCGATCCATACAAATCGCAAGAGTGGTCTGTAAGTACAACACAATTGATTCAACCAAGATCTGGTCTAAAAGACAAAAAGGGAAAGACTATTTGACAAGCATACGGCTATATATATATATCTTGCAAATACATGGGATTACACATATCACATTGCCTAGCCTAATTGAAAACGGCAAAAATTCTCCAATCCACCTTCAGGTAGTGTCCTCAGAAGTCACGATGGCGCTCTCAAGTCCAAAAGAGCTCCTGAAGTAAGCATACACATGGTCTTCTCTTCTATGTCAGTACTTATGCTAACTAAGTATTAGGCCAGTTATGCAAATAAATATAGAGGATAGTACAGATCTCCAACGACTAAACCAACTCTGCCTCCCTCGTTGGGATAACCGTATTAAGACTCTTGCTCTTCGCCCTGAGAGACCTGAGTACGCGATCTTTACTGCACATCCACAAGACACCAAGTGGGTACAGGTTCTAAAATATCTTGAAAGAGATATATGCTATAGACTCCAGAGATTCACTACTCTTTACCAAAAACCATCTGTCGGCCTTTATCTTGATACTTTAGGTTACCTGCATACTCTGACTCCAAATCTTGGGTTGTCTCTTCAAGCTATAGCAGCGATACTCTATGATCAAGAATGCAGTGATTATGTAAGAGATCTAGAGATGCCGAGAATAGAGAAAGCATCAGAAAGAGAACCGATTATTTCATTCAGGCAATTTTACCCTAGCCCCAAGAAAATGTTTCGTTTCGGGACTCGATTCCTAAGATACCTTTTTGAGCATATGCTACTCGTGGACTACGGCATTGATGAAGCAGATATATCGGGAATCGGCTGGGTATATATCTGGGCAAAAGAGCACCACGAATTTAACGATTTTTGCCGGGCTTTAGTTGACTGCGCTCAATCCTGTAAGCAAGCCTCCTCTACACTTTGCCAATTCGATACGCTTGCAAAACGACTTATCGATCTAAACACTTCTTTCGTATACGGTCAATTTGAGTTTTCAGATCTAGCTATTATGCTCTATTACTACGATACGCACCGGCGACCACTTGAGCCAGCTAGCTATAATAAAGGGATGACTGGTTACTTTGGGGTATTACAAGAGCTAATATCTGAGGTCCCTCTAAGAGGAACTAATCGACTACAACGCAAACTGTCTGTTGATGTTAATGAACTTATCCCTAGAGTTGTTAAAGATCCTTGGCAGAGGAAGAGGATGATTTATATTGCAGAAGATATTGCAACACAATATAACCTTTGTCTTTACCGCCCGGCCCAAGGTATAAGCAAACCAATATTCGAGAAAAAATATAGGGACGGATTTCTTATACCAAAAACGAACTGGGTAAAGAGGGTTAAGAATACTTGTAAGCTGTGGGCCACTAAAGGTCGAGACTTTATGAAAAGAGACGCAGAGCGAGGGCTTGATAATAAGGAGCCTCTTTTTGCTCAAAAGGACTTACAGTTATATAAGTTACATGCAAGGTATATCTTTATGGCAGCTTGATAACCCCACAAGAGGGCTACGCTCCATACGGCTCGATATTCAGTCCCTAAAGCTAATGATCTTTACAGACGCCTCATTTGCCAACAACCAGGAATTATTCTCCCAGATCGGATTCGTTATCCTATTAGCAGACAAGAGGAACAGAGCTAATATTCTCCACTGGTCTTCAATCAAGTGTAAGCGTGTTACACGTAGCCTACTGGCATCGGAGCTTTACGCAATGGCACACGGGTTAGACATAGCACCAGCGATCAAATCGACCATTGAAGCCACATTACAGATCCGCTTTCCTCTTATCCTATGCGCCGATTCGAAGTCCTTATACGACTGCCTAGTAAAGCTAGGAACCACACAAGAGAAGAGGCTAATGGTGGACTTAATGTGTCTTCGGCAATCATATGAGAGAAGGGAGATCACTGAAGTCAGGTGGATTGATGGCAATAACAACCCAGCTGACGCAATGACGAAGTCAAAGCCTTGCCCTGCATTAAGGGATCTAATCGATACGAATAACATCAACAACAGGCTACTGAGTGGGTGGAAAGAGTCAAAGAATGAGGTTATTCGCAAAAGAAAAGTTGCCAGTGTATACCAAGGCAATCGGATCAACTTATATACTTCGATTCGGATGGACGAATATCGGACCGCGTGATGAATATAATAGTGATCGAGGTAGCCTTACCTTTAGACAATAACAACTAATTCAACCAACCTTTTTGACCCCATATTGCATATGCAGTATCACCGGAGTGATACAAACACTTTATTTAAGACTTCTTATGGAACTTAATTCTTTTGACAGGCCTAGCCCCCCGAAATCAAGTAGGCCCCAGGCAATTTGGCAGCTGATTCATTATTTCATACTTTCCATATAGCAGTTTTCGGACGTCTTAGAATAGTGGAAATATGTTCTATAGACGCTAGAAAAGAGCAAAAGAAGTAGCTCTGCCTCTTGTTGCCACAGAAATTGGGCTTCGGTATTCCGGTCTGTACCGTGTTGGTTTACGGTTTTCCAAAGCCCGATAAAATTAAGCGAGTTGACTATTTCACAGAGCAATCTTACCATAAAATATGATATCGCGAACACCTCTTTCCAAATACGATATTCCTACTCCAGAACCCATATTCCCACCTCACCTCCTATACAAAACAAAATGACAAGTGATCTAAATGACCGTTAGACCACCAAAGAATGTTTCTTAAGTGATTGTTGGAGTGGTTTCAACAAATCTGCTATATAAGCTCCCTACTTCTTAATAGACATCAACAACATCCGTCTTTTATTCTACAATCATCATTAATTCCCTTCTGTAATTCCCGATCCCCGTGCTGTGTATATCTTTAGGGCTTACCTCACTCGTTATCCCGAATTTCGTATTCTGTATGCCGAGAATGCGGGCTGTTGCACGGTCGTGCCTATGCCGCGCTTTGCTTGAAAATCGTGTTCTCGGGTCACTTTTTTATCGTAATTCCAAATCCCGTTTTCATGATGTGTAATTTTGTCGGCCTCCCTCATTATACTAGAACTAGTGTCTAGTTTCAGGATCAAGGCGGTGCACGTGCCTATGTAGATTTGGGAACTCCGTTTCTCAGAGCTTACTCTCGGTAGTGTATTAGGACTGACCCAGCCAAAGAACTCAGCCTTCAAGACCTCACAGGAGAGACTGTAGGGGATCTGATAGATGTGTATCATGATGTTCTGGACACATTCGCTCACCTGGGCTGCGTAAGTGATGCCGCTCTCAGCATATCGACTGGGGAAGTGGTAGAGGTGGAACAAGGCCGCCCATCTGTAGGATTTGGCGTGATGCAAGAGAGACTCTAACTCATGACCACTGAGAATGGTACAGAGACCTAAGATTTGTGAGCGTAGGGTATGGGCAAACTTCTGTCCTTGACTGGCCAGATTAGAAATAAAGTCCGGGGTCAAGATGTGATGTCTTGGTCGCCGGTCGCCGCAATAAAGTAGCATATGTTGCTCATGTGGCCCAAGATATCGTGTGCAATATCCATCAGGCAGTCTACTGTGTTGAAGCCCCCGTCCTCAAGCCAGTATAACCCGCCAAATCGTGGCCGCCCGCTGGAACTTAACGCGGCCATGATGTCGTGATATGCGAAATTCCGCAACAAGCATCCGTCCCTTGTCCGACAAAGTTGTTTGGGGCCTCCAAGCTGATGAAAGAGGTGCCTAGCTCCCTGGAGATGGATGAACCATCGTTTTGGGTTCTATCATGTCTACCTGAAAAAAGTGTTTAATCCGTGACAACTGCTTGATGGCAGCAACAGGATCGGCAATGGCGACCCTGGAAGAAAGTGCTCAGCGGGCAGCGGATTCCAGTTTGGTATATGGAGCATAACCCTGATTACTGTTTCTTAGGTGTGGACTCAGATATCTATATTGCATTCATTCTGGCGTTTCAAAGCCGTTCCATTTTATGCAACCCTGCCCTAACTTCATTATGGTTCTTGGAGA